GATATTTTGTTGAAAATAGCCTACTATGATCGAAACCAAAAATGCTATAAATTGCATTTTAAAACATCTAGGTATTATAAATCATAAAGAATGCTAATCTAGATATAAAATCGATATTTTGTTGAAAATGTCCTACTATGATCGAAACCAAAAATACATTTAATTGCACTTTAAAACATATCTAGGTATTATAAATGATAAAGAATGCTAATCTAGACATAAAATCGATATTTTGTTGAAAATAGCCTACTATGATCGAAACCAAAAATGCTATAAATTGCATTTTAAAACATCTAGGTATTATAAATCATAAAGAATGCTAATCTAGATATAAAATCGATATTTTGTTGAAAATGTCCTACTATGATCGAAACCAAAAATACATTTAATTGCACTTTAAAACATATCTAGGCATTATAAATGATAAAGAATGCTAATGGGCGATTCCATGAGTGAATTTTTTTTTCTCAACTCAATTTTTCGTAAATATTTCCTTAATTAACTTCATTTAACGCCATATTTAAGATTTATTTTATTTGTTATTATGGTATATATGTATTTTAGTGCATAATCTTTTAGTTAAATCTGTCTGACAAAAGATATTTTAAAAAAACCAAACTTAATCGGTCAACTTTACGAAAAATTGATTTTTAAATTTTCATCAATATTTCTTCGAATATCCATTGTTGTGTTACAAATCTATGATAAACACACGTGAAACCGTCTGTGCTTTATAACAATATCTTATTTGTATGTCTTTCTACTGTAATTAAGGAGAAAATTGGGGAAAACACCACTTAATCGGTCAACTTTCAACCGATTATTGCAAAACATATTACATATTTTTGTCAAAATGCAGCATTATTAAGACTTAAATGCTAATAACACATGAATTGATGAATAATAAGTCTTATTAAGTGAAAATATATGTTGAAATATGTATATTTAAGCAGAAAAATCTAAAAAAATTTTTGAACAAAAAATTTTCAGTTCCATTTACTCATGGAATCGCCCTAATCTAGACATAAAATCGATATTTTGTTGAAAATAGCCTACTATGATCGAAACCAAAAATGCTATAAATTGCATTTTAAAACATCTAGGTATTATAAATCATAAAGAATGCTAATCTAGATATAAAATCGATATTTTGTTGAAAATGTCCTACTATGATCGAAACCAAAAATACATTTAATTGCATTTTAAAACATATCTAGGTATTATAAATCATAAAGAATGCTAATCTAGTTATAAAAAATCGATATTTTTTGGAAAAAAGCCTACTATGATCGAAACCAAAAATGCTTTTAATTGCATTTTAAAACATATCAAAGTATTATAAATGATAAAGAATGCTAATATAGACATAAAATCGATATTTTTTAAATAAAGCCTACTATGATTGAAACCAAAAATGCTTTAAATTGCATTTTAATACATATCTAAATATTATAAACTAGGCTTTCCGGAGGCGCCCGTGGCGTCTCTTATCAGGGTTAAAATTTGATTACTATTATGTAAATAACTGTTAGACGCAAATAACCATAATGTTTTTAAATTCAATCCTTCCACAAAACTTCACATGGCTTCACAAACCTCCTCAAACTCGGACCCCCTTAATCCCTCAAAAATTTTATAAATGGCTTCACAAACCCCCGTTAAACTCGGACCCCCTTAATACCACTAAAACTTTAATCCCCCCGAAACCCACCATGTTTTTTCACAAAGCTTTCGCATGGCTTCACAAAACTTCACATGGCTTCACAAAATTTTATATGACTTCACAAAATACTGACACCAAACTTTTCCCACAAACCCCCTCAAATTCGGATAACAACCGCCTAGTCAGCACCCCTCACATCATTGGCTTCACAAAATAAACCTGACACCCCTCTTGCCCCCCATCCCCACCTGAAACCCACATTGCCTAACCCCCCCCCCCCCCGCAACTGACACCCACCTTGTCAGCACCCCTGAAATCATTGGCTTTACAAAATATATCGACACCCACCCCCCACCTGAGAACCACCCCCCCACCTGAGAACCACCCCCCACCTGACAACCACCTTGTAAACACTCCTTAAATTTTTGTCTTTACACGGCTTCACAAATGTCTTCACATGGCTTCCGTTCCAGAGTCAATATAAAGTCAATATAAGTAATATAAAGATATTATTTACTCTAAAATTTAATTTACTTATTTCAGTGTTTCTCAAACTTTTCAGGTCACGAACCGGTAAGTTATCTTTTGTTCATAGATATCTTCCATCTCAATATCTTTCATATAGTATGAATTAGGTTGTTTAGCTATCCTAAACACATAATAAATGTGAATCTTAGCATCACAACATGTTAAAAATTTTAAAGAACGGATAATCATCCCACACTTGAAAGAATCTGACAAAAAAATCTTAGCTACTATTTACATCTTATTATCATTACAAGCGCTTAATTGAAATCTTACTGGAAGGAGTGACAAATGAAGTAATTGAATTTTGAGAATGCTTATTAATTTTAATTCAATTTGTGAATAAAGTCCATTGTTGGAATGAATAACGTCGCATAGTTTTCATGTCTTACACAGACCGTTGTTAATTTATTCATGATGCAGTGGAAATGCGAAATATGAGAAATGTCCACCATTAATATCACTAATGGTCATCTTTTTGCATTGCATAATTTTCCTTACACATGTTTTCATCCTCCGTACTTTTCTCACCTTGAAATTATGCTTCCATTCACAACTTTTTATGATATCTAGCAAATGATAATGGGACGTAATAAAGATAAGAGACAATTTTTCATTATGTAAAAGTGCTAGTAGCTATAAATCTCAGAACTAAATTGGCAAGCTCATCGATTAAATTGTCTACAAATAAACAGCTTTATTGAATATTTCTATCTCTGCGCAATTGTTTCATTATCAATGTCATTAAGTAAATTTGTTTTGTCACCATACGCTTATCAGTTGTGATACAATTTCAATGTGCGAGACGCCTAGCTATTGGAAGATGTGACTTTTTTTTTGGAGTTGATTTGATTTTTAGCGAAAATTTTGGATATTTAGCGATTATTTGAACAGTTTCAAGGAAACTATGGATTGATATTTAATGTAATTTTGCAAGAACTAGTTACAATCATTGGTTATCAATCAATTTCTTTATCAGGATTGGGCAAAGTTCAAGATCAAGTTTGTCAAAATTCTACATCTACTGAGAATTCTGATTGAATTTTATCCAAAAAACCTCAATTGTTACCTAAGAAGTTAGCCACAATACACAGAACAAGTCCAAATCTATTTACCATTTGATAAGTCTGAGAATTCTAAGTGACAAGTGAAAGAAAATGTTAAGCAACAAAGATGTAAATTTATTTGACATCATCCAATAATCTTCTCTAGTGAAATGAATTTTTTATGTACTTTATACGCATTCATATATATCCTACCGATGTCGATAAGAAAATATGGCTGGCATACGATAAGAAATTTACATTTTATGATTTTTTTATGTTTTATATTCGTTTCTACGTGCGTTGCTTCTTATTTATGATAGGTAGCTAAAAGAAATGATAATTTGATACGATGTTTGATTAAATATGATTTTTATAATCGAATTTTTATCTTTACAGGTACATTTGTAATGCATTGAAAGTGCGTAAATTAAGGAAGTGCTAATGCGAATCAGGAAGGAAATTAGATTAGATTTTATCTGATAAATCTTAATGATATTGAAATTGATATGAGTTTAAGGTCAATAGAGACATTCTTCATTCTTATCATTTGCACCTGCTAGTTTTTTCACAATATTGAATGTCAAGCGCTAAATTTACGCATGAGTAAGGAAAAAGTTATTAAAAATAATAATTCACAATATTAATAAAATCTCTTAAGCCAGTGACATATGTGATAATAATCGCCAATGTTTATTTTGGGAGGAAATTATCTTCATAATAGAGATGATAGATTTATATGGTTGATAGCAGAAACTATAGCACTGTAATACAAGGGAAATGAATTTTGCTATTTTTCTGTAAAGAATTTGTTCAAATGACTCATATTCTGTATTTTTATCATGACTTTGTGTATTTATGGATTCTATACCATTAACTGTCAAATAAATAATGTAATATTTGACATTGCTTGGAGACTTTTACAGAGCTAATCAATGATGATTGTGGAATGCACTCAAAACTACTTGGATATGTTATGACGTCATGAACCACGGGATAGGGGATCAAAATCTGTGTGACACTTTCCACAGAATCCAATTGATTGAAATTTTTGGTAAGGAAGAATCCGAAAATGTCCTGTTACGGACGTCAATTGTATATGACTCTTGAAACTGCTTCAATCGCATAACTTAAACTTTAACTATACTTATTTGTCCATCATCTCAACTCTGTTCCTTTCAATTTTGATTCCTTCAATTTTTACGATTCATTCTTCGAAACTCATAAAATTTATCATATTATGGAGATCAGATCAGCATCTTTGACCTATAAAAACTTCATAGACAACTGAACTTTTCCTATCCCACTCATTTGGTGGTCAACCAACAGTAGTCAAATAGCATAAAAACGAGAGCATCTTCCTATGTTATAGAATATACATTGTTTGAGCATTTCAAATGGTTTTTAATCTTCTTCTTCAATAAAACATGGGACAAAAGGAAGCAGCAACAAAAAAAAAATAAAGTTTTTATGTATGTTTACATTCATGATAAGTTGAACAATAAAAGTTTTCCGTTCATCATATTTTGACTATTTATATAGAGCGCTCTGAGGGAAGAAAGATTAATGTCAACTGCAGCTTCATCCACATATTACTGTACAATTTAATTTACGAATTAGAGGAACAATAGACAAATGAAAATGTGTATTCATCTGCTATAATGATGATGATGATTGCAATCTACCGAAAATCCCTCGATTTAGGTCAAATGATGAATTGTGACAAGAATTGTAATAATATTTTATGCATTATTGCGAAATAATTTGTGCTTAAATTCGAGTCCCTATATCCAGAGACATCAAATGTCATGAAACTTTATTTATAAACTTTTTAATTCATTTTCAATAACAGAATTTTATTTATTAGACAGCTACAGTAATTACTAGCCTGTCACACTAATCTAAATCTAAATTTAATTTCTTCTAGGTCCTCTATATTCATCGATACAATTAGCTTGCGTCAAAACCATACATCTTCCGGAATTAATGTCAAAGTGATGTAAATGAGGACATCTTTGTATATATCTGTTTCCATTCGAGCAATGAATGAATAAATTACAGTCTTCAGGATGCGGTAAACTGCCAATAAAGGTATTAGGGCATTCTGGTAATCCGTTTGGATAATTTCCATTTCCATTTTCACATCCAGCATTTCTAGGATCATCACAAAACTGTCTATCAGCATTCCAATGTTGTCCTGGACGGCATGGAACTTCTATTGGCCATCCGTTACTGAATAAATTAATTATAATTTGATTTATTTTGTTTAACATTGCGATATGCTTCATTTAATTAAACTTACACACAAACTTCGAATGCATCACAAAACTCTGATGGCAGAATACGAAGTTCATTACTTCCTGGTGTGGGGCAGCGAGGATCAGTCCTAGAAATAAACTTTTGAAGATCATACTAGAATGCTAAAATCAAATAATTTACCATTGAGGATATAAGTTTAAAATACATTCATAGTCCTCAGGAAAAACGCAAGTACTTAGGCGTGGATCAAACTTCAAATCGTCATCACATTCACCCAAAATTAACTCATCATTCCAGCAAACAAGGTACCAATTACAGCCTATAATATTGTTTTAACATATGAATTTTAAAATAGTGAATATGCAAAAGAACATGCTTACTCTCTGGATGTGGGAAGTACTGCAAGGAATGAGAATAAAAATTAAATAAATATTATGTCTAGTTATATAACATAAAAGAACCTTATAGCAATAAAAATATGCACATTTAATTTCTGAAATGTTTTGGAACAGTTCCAATAAATTTAGTCTTTTTACGCACGAAGTATTGCCTATCAAAACTCGCATTAAATCACATTTCCTTACCGTTAACTCTGGAACTTGGTAATCCACACAAAAGGTATCCCATGGAAAGTTCTCAACATATCTATAATTCTGTTTAACTGTATCATTCACGCGAAGTATTTCACCAGGTTTGATGTCTGTATGACGTAATTCTATAGATGGCAATGCATTTATCAGCATCAAATTGAAGACAAACACGAAAATGACTTTAAATACTTTTTCACTTTCCATCGTTAATTTATTTTTTTTTTGCGACAAGAACAAGAACAGACAAGTTCAAAGAGAAACTAAGCTGATAATGAAGTGTGACTCTTGTTTAAATACAAAATTTCGGTGCTTATCATCAATTACCAGCAATGTCAATTAATAATCATTAACATTCAATTAGTGACATAATCAAAAAATCCATGTACTATCAAGAATTGTTTCCCATTATGTTTATGTCTACTGAAATGACTTAGTCAGATTTTCAATAATAGAAATTTAGGAAGGCTGATTTTATCAATGAAAACTTTAAGATTTTACAACCATTCAATCATAATTTGGCTACGATTTGCACTTTGTGCCCTTCACTTAGTAAATAAATTTTACGGATCTAATTTTTTTCTAGTCTACTTAACATTTTTGATGGATTGTTATTTCATTAGAATCGAGATATAAAAATATTTTACTACAACGTATAATTTTCCACATATTAATAATCCAGATTATGTATTCATGGCAAGTTCTAGTCATTTCTAACAACCACAAAAAGGCTCATAAAATGATTTACAACATACATGAAAGACTATCAATCCGATGACGTAATTTCCTTTTGTTTCTATGACGTCATTGCAGAAAATTGAGCTTCACAGCCAATCGGAAGCGCTAACATTTTTGTATCTCTTTGAAGATGCTGCATAATTTTTGTGACATACAATTTCTAAAGCAGCATACATCATGTACACAGAGAGACATGTAATCTTGTATCAATGTGATTTATTGCATTTTGAAAATCTAATTAACTTTAAACTTTATCAAGATGAAGTGCGGAAGCACATAATTGAAAATAAATACATATAACCTGACCAAGACAATCTGTTGCTTCAAAAAAATTGCTTCAAATGTAAATGATAAGAAGGAAAGAAAAACTATCGTTTGCCGAAGATTTGACATTCAGCTTCGTATCATCAATAAAGCGCATGCTTAGAAGCGATTAAGCGAACATCAACTTGCAGAAAAGCAGCATTGCAATATGTAAAAAGAAGGAAAACGAAGAACAGCATCGGACCAATATAAATCGAATGTCATTATGTGGATATTTTTCAGTTGTATTCGGAAACTGATGGAAGGAACATAGGAAGAGGAAAAAAAGACTTCAACAACTGTAGTGTTCTTTCGGAGTAAAAGATAATTTTCATTTTTGACATAAATTCTACTAGTGACTTTTTTGAGGAAGAAAAGAAAAAGAGAATTGAAAAATAAATAATCGAGTGCTCTGTGTCGCGAGATTAAAATAGCAAACAAAAAAAAGTCTACCAAGAAAAAGTGAAATTTAAATTTTGTTTACGATTTTAAGGACAGGAAGGTAAGTGAACTGAATTTTTTGTGAGTGAGGGTTTTATGAAGAATTTTCTTTTATGATGAGCATAAAATAAGAACTGTGTCTTGTCAAAAAAAGTTGTATTATATTTAACGGATATTCAAAATCCACAGTAGGATTAATAAGTTTTAATATTATTTTCATTAAAAAGTATTTTGTGGACCGTCATCACAGGTGATGAAAAATTCCAACAATGGGAAAAAAAGTAATATTCATTTTAGGGTAGAATCACAATTTGTCCAACAAGTGGTTGAGGTTTTTGAATATAAAAGCACATTTACTAGAATTCTGATGTTTAAAGCTCAACTTTCCTGCATCTAAAGGTTGAATTTTTTAATGTTTTCTTAGAAATTACAAAAGAATGTAGTTTTATGATAAAAGCTTTTTTTGATCAGATTTTGTTCAATGAATAATTCGTCAAGATTACGTGCCTTGAAATCAAGTTTGGGTTAACATCAGTTAACATTAAATTTTTAAAAGATCATGGCATAATTTATCAGTGAAAGAAGATGAATCAAAATATTTGATTTAGGTGTGCATGAACACAGCAATGAATAATGTAAAGGATTTCCGAGATTTTTTTTTGGACTTTTTTAAGATTTTTTTAATATTAGAAATTGATATAAAATTTTGACATTGGAAAACCAAATAAGTTAAGAAGTCAGTCGAATAAGGAATTTAAACTTTTAAGACTTCCTTAACAATAATAAACCTAAAAGGAATAAGATTTATTCCATTTTAAGTTCCTTTTTTGAGTTGATAGAAAAATTGTAGATTTTATCGAAGTTGTATTTTATCTTTTCTAGACTAGTCTAGATTACTAGTTTCTTACCAAGTTTTAAAGTGAACAATTTTTGAAAAGACAAAAGTTTCAAATAAATATTCAAATCATCTTTATACAGAAACCAAAGTTATTTCTCAAATATTTTTCTAAATCAAATTCAAAGATTTTTTGATTAAATTCAATAAAATATTTTAAAATGAACTTTTCACAAACAAAAATTTCAATCAAATCAAACAAAAATTTTGGCATGTTGATTTTAATAATTTTTCATACCTTCAGGCTGATCATTTCAACCTTTAAATATATTTTTTTCAAAATGCTTAATCAGATTATATGCTGAATGTGGGCATATTCACATATATGTTTTGATTAATTTCTTCAAACATTCTTTATGATTGTCTGAATGCACTTTCACCTATTGCCATTTTGACATTCACAAGAGTTTTTGTTAAAAAAAAACATGATAAGACATTTTTCTGTGCCTTTATGTCTACGGAATGTTAATCTTAAAATCTTTGCAAAGTTATGATAAATTTTTCATTATTTTTATAATCATCCAACGTAAACTTCAACAATATGTCGGTGACTGAAGACTAATTTCAAGTCATAACACAAGTTCAACAGTTATTTTTATGACAAATGACTATCACGTCCTAATCATTATGATTTTCCTAAACTTCTATCACACAATATCAATATTCCATTAATCATAATGATTTGGCAGTTACTATGAAGAGGCAGCATAGAAAATAAGGATTAAAGGCTTAAAATCGCGTATCCACAGACTAATATATTTTCGATATGGTATTTACATATGTGGATAGCGTAAAAACGATTAATCTTTCCTTAATCTCATGTCAAGGATTTCTTTTTTTCATTGTGTATCGTAAGCGATACAAAAAGACATTTTGGTGGTCGCTGAATTGACATCTTATTGCTTACTAAATAAACAATTTCTCTTGAAAAAGATTCTAAAATCAATATGCTGCCTTTGTTGCCTTTAAAAACACATTTGCAATAAGAAAAGAAGTTGTTTAGGAATTTCAATGCTTAGATAAATAAACGATATCAAAGAGAACGTTTTATAGCTTCTAGCGAAATTAATACAAAAGGAATTTATGCTGGAAATCATTTAACATGCATGAACAGTTATGACAGTTATTTTATTGCCAACATCAATGGAATTAATTAGGATTTTTAACTTTTTGGTGATTTTAAGAAGTTGACTGTTTTAATAATAATAATAAGTTTGGAAATTCATTGAGAAATACCTGAAAAGTTCAAGCATAAGTAAGAATCTATTGATTTAACGAATTTTTTTCGGATAAGCTTGGTAAATGATTAATGTCAACTGTTGTATTTCTTTGATACAATAATAAAATCATGAGATTAATTAGAAAACTAATTTTTAACAGCTGTTGGCAGTAAGGTTTTGTTTAGATCAGTAATGGTGATTAAGATAAAGATTAATATTGTTCTAAAGATTTAATTGATCAAATTTAGTCTTAAGATTAGATTTAAAGAAATTACAGAAACAGCTTCAAATTGAAATTGTCCAAGAACTAATCATTGACCTTATTATCATGAGTAATGTTCAAAAGATCAACAGTTCTAGCCATAACAAGATCTAAATGTTCCAAATTTACAAATCTTTTGATATGTTTTGAAAAATTCTTTCTTTTCTATTTTTAAAATTTATTATCTGCCCGCAATCTATTGATAGAAGATTACACATAATAATAAATTCAATCCTTATGAATCTCCAATCGACCTTTTGAGCACAAATCAGAATTTATTTTGAATCGTAAATTGTGATTATTGGGTTTTGTTATGCATAAAAGAATGATCTCTATGTCCTTAATATTACAGATTATTTTGAATTTTTTTTTCATTTGTCATCACATAAGTCAAATTTAAGACATTTTTGGCTATGGAGAAAATTAAATCAAATTTGTAATAAATATTTTGATAATAATTTTTTTAATTCTATGTTCCTAATAAAAGCAAATGTATAGATGAAAATAGAACATTTTCTGAATACTTACTCGATATTTGATGTCAATTCAAAGCTTTTGATATGTAAAAGTAGTGAATACAGTAGAGAATAATCTTTAAGCATTTCCTGTTTTCCCAGCAATTCTTGTTTACTTCTAAAAACATTAAATCCTTGACCCTCTTTAACATTTGATTCCTTCAAAAGAAAGAAAAATAACTCATAAAATAATAATATTAGAATCGGATGTTTATCAAAAGATTTATGCATAAATAGATCTAAAATCTAAATTAAGTTGAAGGGTAAAATATATTTTTTGAAGAATAATCAAATCGATCTTTAGAGAATATTTAAATATCCAAACTTTTTTAATGATGAATGTGTAGGAAGAAGAATAATTTAAACAAAGAATGTTGAATTGCGTTTGAAATAAATAAAATAAGAGTTTTTTGTTAAATCTTCTTCAAAATCCTTAATTAATTTGAGGAAGAAAGCATTATTACCAAATAGAACTCTGAATACTTCTTTATCTATATTAATGCAGAGTTCAATGACATAAAGGAAGCAAAAACACATGTGCTTTTGTCATTTACTCATTTTTGTTTTTATTTCCAATTACACTTTTGTTATTCATCACATAAAATATATATTATGTAACGTAATGTTATAAGCACAATAGGAAATAAACAAATATGTTATAAAAATTGTCTTTCGATAACAAAATGCAAATTGTTGTAGAACAGAAGAAAAATCAGTCAACTCAATTTACTTTTTGTATATGTTCTACAACCACATACATCTCATATCACCTGTTGAATGAACACCCACTGTTAACCACACTAACTCAATGTGCACAGTGAACGAGAAAAATGTGAGACGATTTTTCAATATGCTCATACGTCTATAAAGTATTGGAATAACTACGTTTTCCTCCGTATTTGTTTTCAATATAAAAATCTCATTTCCGACCGTACTCTTCATTTCTTACAATCTCATCGACCATCGAAGGTTTGAATGAAGCGTGAAGGAATGAGGAAGCTTTGGTTTATTTAACTGCTGTTTTGTAGTCGTTACTTGCTGAGTTTTCATGAATTTATCAATGATAAAATTAAAGGAGGTTGAGTATATTCATGCTTTTTGTTATTATTTTAATGGAAATGAAATAATTTATTTACAAATTGAAGTTATTGATTATTTAGAAATTAAAGATTCGATTTAAATTTAAATCAGAAAATAAATTAATAGATTTTAAACAAGTGAATCTTAATGATAATTTGACAAACTATGGAATTAAAATTGAGCATAACATAATTTTTGAGAGTCTATTATGCCTTCAAATCTTTAAAATGGCAATTAAAAAAGCTTGATATATTTTAAATAAGCAAAATTAAAATTAAAATTTTAAAAAATTTTGATTGCATAAATTTAATTTTAATTTATTTAGAAAATTACAAAAAGTTTTCAACATTTTCTGACAGTTCTGTAGTAAAATAAAGCAATTAAAACTCCCACGCAAAACCAAACCAAATTGAAAACTCACCATCAATAAAATATCTGTTATCAATTACTGTTCATTACCGGTTATAAATTTCCCACAAAATCGACTTTCTAATTTATTTTATGGACAAGATTCTTACACAGGCTTTATTTTCATATTTAAATACAGGAGAAAAGCATAAAAATCTTTGAAATGTCTAAAAAAAAGAGCTTTTGTTGTTGCCTTTTGTTTTAATGTAAATTCAAAAAACATGACAGCAAAAGAACGGTCATTTATTCTTGTTTACAGTTCTTTTTGTTCCTTCAAAATTACCCAACTTTGAAACTTGACATCCGCAAGCATCAAAAACATTTTAAATGTTAATTAGCATAACAAGAAAATGGTTAAAGGAATTTGTTTCTCTTAAGTATTAGCCTTAAGAATTTGCTCGCATCGAACAACATAGATTCTTTGACATAAGAAGAGGAAGTAAAGTAGGATGAGTAAAAGTAAAATATGTACATTGAAAAGTTTATGCTAGCAAACAAACGTAAAAGAAGAAGAAGAAAAAAATGGAATTCTTATTTCGATATGCGTGATGTCAAAATATCTTATTATTTAAATTCCTTACGTGTTACATCCAAAGAATTTTTTTCTCCCATTCATTCCATTCTAAATAACTTTCTAGCGTAAAATATATTGCTTGTAAAATTTATGTTTTTCTTCGCAAA